GCGCGCCAGTGACTTCCCTTCGCGAGTAACGGAAGCGGCCTAGTTTGAGGTGGCTGCACCAAGCTCAATTTTTGATCATTCCTTTTGGCTTCTCATCCTCGGGGAGGTTTCTGTCTCTGGTTTAGCCGCTTCGAGTTGCGCCTCCTGCCTTTCCGCCATGAAACTCGTGCGGTAAGTGTCAGCTCTTCGGGAAAAGCGGGAACAATTCGGAAACACGTTCGGCCAGGCCCTGGCTTTCTTTTCATGGCCGCCTCTCCCTTCACTAGACTTGAGTTCTTTCCGACGCGCTTGAAGATCTTTTGTTGTCTCGTTTTGTGCTCTTTAGCTTTGGCTTGGTTCTGCTTGATCTTCAGGAGAGCAAGAATTTTCCCTTGGTTTTGGCGATCTATTCTCAGAATAAAATCCATTTCATCTCCTTTTTTTTCTTTGATACTGATAAATGATAAGGATTTGAGATCCACTTCATTTTGAAATGGAGAATCAGTATTATTACCCTTAAATGTCTTCAGAGCCAGGACTTTGCTTTCGTTAGGTGGCCATTCACAAAGGACGGCGAAGCTATTATTTCTAGTACAAAGTATATAGCGAAATCCTAACAGATGCAGGTTAAAATAAGGGAAAAGCTATAGCTGCTCAAATAGCAATATTTTACAGATCTGATTTTAGGCAACCTTATTCAGAAGTGTGAGTGATTATTATCTGCTCATTTTATATATATCACCACATGCTAAGGCTCAGTCTAGTAATTGTAAGCTGCAACTATTAATATTATTGGGCAAATACAATCGAGGTTGGGACAGATTGTAAACAAACTATGCATGTAGTAGCTGTATCATTAGTGCCCATTATGTACCTAATTAGACAATGTCAAGCAAGCAATTAAGGTATGCATTGGGGACATGAATATTATAATTTGAAATAGCCAAACCAAGAGAAAGTCTAAAATGCCAATTTATCTACTCTAAATATAGCTAGACCTTCTTCAAAGACTTTTAATGCCTTCAAGGGGTCTTTGAAGGGTGACATTTTCCCAGACACACAGAGGTTTGTCCATTGATCAGCCCATAGAATGACTCGGATGTCAAATGGTTTTTGACATTTGCTTGTGGAGACACTTGCCTTTTGCATGAATTTCAGCTTTTATTGTCATTGTCTCATTATGTAAAGAAATTCATTTACATATAAACTAACATGTTTCTTCCAATTATGCAGATTTCTTATGAAACTTAGTCATGAAACTGTCACCATTGAACTGAAAAATGGGACCCAGGTACATGGAACCATTACAGGTATGAGGTTTTGGATGAAGAAATTGTCAAAAAGATTTGTAACTAAATAAAATTCTGAACATTTGGCAAAATTCACAGGTATCTTATCTTTCACTTAAATCACGAGTGTGTACATGTTCCCATTTTATTGATGCAAGTATGCTTTGGAACAGAACTACAGCACTGAGAAATATCTAGCATTATTAGAATTGCATTCCTGGATTAGACTGAAAAAATCTGTTTACCCAAACTCACTATATGATTTTTTCTATAACTTCTAAAACTCCAGCTATTCTTTTGGAGCATTGCTTTCTGTATATTTTGTGTTTCATAGAAATCAATGACAACATTTTCACAAAAATTTTCATTGTCAAAATAAAGAAGAAATTGTCATTTATGTTTTAATACTTGTATGATATTCCAGCTAGGAGTCTTCACCTTTCTTAAATTACTGTATACAGTTGGTATCTTAAGAATATGATGTGGCATTGTTGCAAACAGCTGGGGAATTTCCACTGAATAAAATGGTCGTAATGAGGGGTTGTAATGAATATTCCCTCTATTAAATTCTTCCATAGGATATTCCTTTATCCCTGCTTATCTTTGTTTGGACAGTTAGGCAAACATCCAAGTAAAAGATCTGGTTATATCTAGCAAACATTATTTTTGATCTTATGTAGACCATTTGTGGTCAGTAATTCTTGAAAATAAAGTTTGGTTGTAACACAGATTTTCCCAACCTTTCTGGCTTTGCTGACCAGCCCGGGGGGGGGGGTTAATGGTCCCATGCAAGTGGCAGGTATGCACACCTGTGCTTGTGAAATAAAGTGCATGTGCTCGCCTGCTGCTCATGCAAGTGGGAATGTGTGTGCTCACCCGCTACTTCCATGGCCCGGTTCCGAATGGCTCAAGGTCTGGTAGTAGGCTGTGGCCCAGAGGTTGGGGGCTGTGTTGTAGCATATCTATGTTCCTTTTTAAAAGCTTTTTTTTATTGTAGGACATTGGGTAGAACAAAAGGCCTGATAGTTGCCAAGGGAAGAAGTGTGGCCAGTTGACTTACTTGTTATATTAGAGACCATAGTTCTAGTTAGAGAAAGATTGTGATAGGAAAAAAGTTTTGAATGACTGGAGGATAGGTCAAGTACATGAATAGTGTATGGAAGAGAGAATTTCTGTATCTATGTAGGAAATGTGGTTGAGAATATTAAAAAAGAAAATGGAAATAATATTTTGGAAACAGGGCAGACAAAAGATTCTAAGAAAGTGCAGTGTTTTTTAAAATATGTGTTTGTTTTAACGATCCTTATGATTTTTCAAGCTCTATATAGTGATGATCAAATGTATAGCATTCTCACGTATTTTACATAAGGTAATTTATGCTAGTTGTATGGCCATAGATAGGCAATCTTGGAATAACATAGCCTTCCATAAGATTAGGAAATGTTCTATATTTTATTTTTCAGGAGTGGATGTCAGCATGAATACCCATCTTAAAGCTGTAAAGATGACCTTGAAGAACAGAGAACCAGTCCAGTTGGAGACATTGAGCATTCGAGGCAATAATATCAGATATTTTATTCTGCCAGACAGTTTGCCTCTTGATACTTTGCTGGTGGATGTTGAACCAAAAGTCAAATCCAAAAAAAGGGAGGCAGGTTAGTTCTTGATTTCAGACTTCAACAGTAAATATCTGCTTCAGAACAGATTTAATTTAAGAACATTTTAATTTAACATCCGTGATGATGCCTAAATTGCAGCTTTAATTCTTACTGTAGTGGTTTTAAAAACAAGTTTTAACAATAAAAGGTTTATTTCGCATTGATTTGTATCACTTCAAAAATAAAAGTTGGAAGATTTCTCACTCATTTGCTGTTATTTTTGCATAATCATGTGATTCTGTAATGATCTTTTATCATCTCACCCCTTCAAATCAGATTTGATTCTATAAAACTAAGTATAGATTGTTTGGTACCTGGCTAGATATCATGTAAGACTAATCACATACTGTCTTTCATTTCAAAAAAGTTCTTTCAATTTTAAATTCTCTATCCCTTGTCTTGTAATTAATGGAGCAATAACAATTGCTTAAATAATTCTTAAATAGCAAATACATATTTCTTAAGTTACTTAAATTAAACAGTTAATTTTCCTTGGACAGAAACAGGGACTAACAGCAAATACTGGGGCACATATCACCAGACATGTCACTAGAAGGCAAAATCACAAAACTGTATCTCCCTTACTTTGGCCATGTCATGCAGAGGAATTCACTGAAGAAAGCAATTATGGAAGAGTTAGTGCTAAAAGGAAACCAGGAAACCAAAAGAACATGGTGACTGGACACCATCAAAGCTGACACCAGACAGAACATAGAAAAAGAACTAGTGCAAAATTGGAAAGATTGGAGACCTGGCCCATATATTTAGAATAACGCTGTCAAGTTACATATTTTAGAGCATTATTTCTTACAAGTTTATATTTCACAAAACCTACTCATTTTCGAATTTGGAAGCAGAGATAAGTGACTTGATAAGATCATTGTAAGAAAAGAGAATGGTGATATTTTTTCACTTTTGAGTTATTTGGAATAAGTTTTAAAATAAAAATATATACAAAATACAAACATACAGTAAAAAGTACTATGGTATGATTGCCTTTTTAAAAATAAAGTTTTATTTCTTTATGTTCAGTTGCAGGAAGAGGACGTGGAAGAGGAAGAGGACGTGGAAGAGGACGTGGAAGAGGAAGAGGGGGTCCAAGACGATAACTTCTTTTTATCTGTTTTTAAAAAAAAGGCCTCAAACAACTGGTATTTTTTTACAGGTTTTGTTTTGTGTCAGTTTAAATAAACAAATGTGGAAATGTGTCACTAAGTTCAAATTCTACATTCATACATTGCATGAAACCCCTGATTACACATGTATTATCTTTAACATTGATAGCCAAAACTTGGAAATTAACTTTAAATAGAAATATTTAATTCTGAATTCCAGAACTGTGAAGTTTGCAGTCTATCTTTTCTTCTTATATCATCTGCTGAAACCTGAAGCATTTGTGAATATTTCAGTTTATAGAGAAAATTAAATATAGTCCTCATTTAGCAGCCACATTTGGGACCAGCAGCTCTGTTGTTAAGTCTCTAAGAGTACTTTTCTTTTTTGTACTTCTCTATCCTTTGAAATTCTCACCATGATATGTATTCCCCATTGTGACCTTCCTTACTCTCTTGTAATCCCTTTCCAATCTCTCCACTCTACAAAGGGAGGGGACCAAGGGAAAATAATAGGTCATTTACAGTACAATCTCTGCTGACTGTAATAGCACTTGTGACTGAGAGAATGCTGTGGAGACTGCAATTATGGTAGTTGCTTGTAAAGTTCTTTACCATTGTAATTTCAAATGGTTTCTGAACAAGATAATTAGTAAGCAAGGATAATCTGTATTTTGAAATTACTTTGAAGAGTGGCATAAGGAAACAAAAACATTGTACTGAAATCCCTTTGTCTTAAAAGCAATAAAAACTAAGAAATAGGCAAGTAAAACAAAAGTTACAATTTTCCTCACAGGATTTTCTGATTTAGGTTTCTGTGATTTGATAATAACATTAAAAAATATTTCACAGTAAGTATTTAAACATGATGTCATGTTCAGTATATAACTAAAATTTGTATGTCTTTAGTTTCTTAGTTCATAATTCCAGTGTAGCCCTTAAAATTTTCTAGCCCTGTTGCCCATTGTTTTTATAGTTCTTTTGGGAATTATGGACATTCATTAGATTGCTACAGCTCTGGTAGTAGTAAAGAATGACAATGCTTTGTTCATATAACTTACAAATTACCATGAAAATGAGTTGCATAATCAAACTATCCATATAGAAAAATCAGTTTCTTGTACCACATGACTTCTTGGATGTTTTACAACCAGAGTTCACATTCACATATGCCAGATTTCCTTTGTGTAATTGAACAGAACCAATATTTTCAAGTATAATCTTGTCTTTATCAAAACCAATCTCCAGTTATCTTCTGCAAAGCCGTTTTCTTGATGGAGAATGGATAAGTCTATTTTGGCAGGAATATTTGGTTACCCGGGATTTGCTTTGTTGATTGCTGCCACTTAAAACGTATAATCTTCAAACTGGGATGTGAAAACTGCATCGGTTGCTAAAGTCCAATTATTGGCGATTTCTTCTGAGCTTTATAAAAGTTACTAATGCTCCTAATGGTATGCATAATGATGTTGATGCCACAAGCAGACCAATAACTACTAGGCCACCTCTTGAATAATCTTTTGTAACCAGCTTTCCCTACAAGAAACATAACCAAATTATGAAACTGCCTACAATAATGCCAAGGAAAGATATGTTGCTATTTTAATCTTGGGGTTGATGGTAAAATATTTCTATTACTAAATGATCACATTTTTTCATTTGCATTCTTTTCATAGTGATAATTTTTCATGCTTCAAATTTCAGTAACGGTAATTATAATGCTAGTAGCCTAGAATGGCAATTATATACTGTAGATGCTACCGTAGTAGCCTAGAATCATTTCAAATTCAAAGGCAGATATTTTTCACCATTTTTCCAGCTTGGGTCCATTTTATTGGCTGCAATTCCTGGAATTCCCAGCCAATATAATTTTTTGCTATACTGACCAGCAAATTTGAAAATTGCATTCTATAATATTGGAAAACTGCCATGTTAGGAAAGGATGTTTTACACCAATGTTTTATGAATTATTTATTTTTTATATTTCTAGATCGCCCATCTCCCCCAACTGCTAAATTTAAGCTGCAAACAGAAAAAACAAATTCAGTAAAATACCTCTGTTGCATCCCAGGCTTGATACTGGGATATCCCTGTCCTGATGTAGTCCGTGATGTAAAACACAAACAGGCTTATGATTAATATTGGACTGATAAAAGCCCATAAAATTTTCCAATACCAACTTGGCTCATGTCCTATCATCACACAAAGGTCTTTACTAAATCTGTTAAAGAAAGAAAAGCTCTTGACATCTTGGAAGAAATTGGTATATAAGTGCAAAATAATAAATTATACAATGACATGGTAATGATGTGATAAGAAAGCATTGTTACTAACTTACCTTTTTAACCCATATATGTAACAAACAGCAATAGTTTCCACCAGTACAATAAGCAGCAAGGAAAGAGTAGCAGCATAATCATTGAAGATATTAAACCAATAGTTACCAGCCCTTGTAGTAAATATTAGGCCAATGACACAGTTGATGATGCACACGCTACCTATAAAAATAACAAATGCTTTCAACCTCAGTGTTTAAAAAAGCTTGGATCAGAACAAATTTTATATTCTTTTTACTGAATATGTAGTCTTGCTAGAAATAATAGTTGCTTTAATTTCAAATCAGACAAGATGTATTGCAGTTTTTTCAACTTACCGATGATGGCTATAATTGGTATAGTCACACAATTTACAGAGAGAAAACTAGCTTATAGCAAAATAATCTATAGTGTTGAATCTCAGTCTTTAAAAAAATAGAAAACAAATTGGATTGAATTGATATATCAACATTAAGTCTGATTTGCATTGTCTCACAAGATTATAGGTACAATTGGAGTGGGGAGGTACCTTTAAGTCAGCTTGGACTCCTGGTGACTGAACAAGTCTCTGCAATTTTCTTGGCAAGCTTTTTGGGGAGTGGTTTGCCATTAGTGTTCTTCCTAGGATTAAAAGAAGGACTGGCCCAAGGTCACTCAGCTGGCTTTGTGCCTAAGGCAGGCCTAGAATAGATGGTTTTACAGTTTCTAGCTCAGGACCTTAATCACTACACCAAATTGGCTCCTTTTTAGAAATAAGGATGCTCACATTTCTAGTCATGGATATTTTCCTATTTAGAAGAGGAACTGCCTGCAGTTGGCATTCACATATAACCATAAGAAGGATTATGCATGATTATGATCAAAGCCATACAGGTAATCCTTGAGTTATGAATGTAATAGAGCCTGCCAATTACATTCGTAACCCGAGGAGTTATTAATTAGATCACATTAAATGAAAGTGATCCCTGTTTTACCCAATGTATTCACTAGTCAAATGCATAGGCCGTTAAGTACACGTGAGGTATCTCGGGGGGGGGAAGACCATGGGGGGGCTCTGCTTCCAACCACCCAAGGCCTCCTCCTATCCACTGAGATATATCATGCTTTCCCCCCCCCCCATCCTGCCCCACTGGGTCTCCACAGGCACTGGGCCTGTGGAGATTCACTTACTTTTCGAAGATCGTGATCAAGCGAGCTGTCTCCTCTCCAGCCTCTTCGCTGCAGTTTCTTTGCCTGCTCCTGGCGCTCCAAAAGCGGAATGGTGAAAGCAAAGACAACAGGACAAGTGCGTCCTGCTCACCTTCGTTGACTCACCGAGGCTGCCTGCACAGGACACCCATTCTGCTTTTGGAGTACCAGGCAGCCTCGATAAGTCTGAAGGAATGCGATATTGCGTCCCCAAAGGCTTCTGTTCTCACGCCGAAAGCTTTTGCAAAGGAATGGAAGTTTGGGGGGAGTGCTTTAACGCTGCTCAAAGCCTTCTGTCCCTTTGCAAAAGCTTTCAGCGTGGAGAATAGAGGCCTGAAGGAGTGCAATCTCATGCCCCCAAAGATTTCTGTTCTCCATGCCCACAGCTTTTGCAAAGGGACAGTTCGGGGAGCGATCTCGCACTCCTGGCTCACCAAGGCTGCGTGGCACTCCAAAAGTGGATCGGGTGTCCTGTGCAGACAGCCAAGCTGAGCAGACCATGCTTCCTCCTGCTCTCTCCACTCCATTTTTGGAACGCAGGTAGCAGGCAAAGAAATCAGGCTGCCACGCAAACCCCGCAGCAGAGAGGCTGGAGAGGAAACAGCTCCCTTGGGGAGAGAGAAGGAGCAGTCAGCCTGTTCTGGAACTCAGGATCTTCGAAAGGTAAATGAGCGATCGGTAACAGGGTGGAGAGGAGCTGGTGGGCTAATATAGCAGGGCCAGTGTCTGTTAGGTCCCTGTCAGGGAGGGGGAATAGGCAGAGGGGAGGTTGCAGTGTCTCTGTGGTTGGTCATAAGGTCGACTGATTGCCGTGATGCTGCAACATTTATAACTTTGAGACTGTCGTAAGTACTTTTGGCAGGGTTGTGTCATAACTTTGAACCATTGCTAAATGAACTGTCGTAATTCGAGAACTACCTGTATTGCAATTACAGGCATATCATGATATCTTCTAATTGTACTGCTAGTCTTGCCAGGCCTTGAAATTATTCAATATCATTGTAGCTATCAAATTTACCTGAGATAATCTCCCTGGGTACATGAGAAGAGAGGAACTTGATGTCAGTCAGAGGAGTAAGAATGGCTGCAGTGTTTCCCAGCATGCTGCCTATTCCAAGCGTCAGCAACATGACAAAATATAGCACTGAATACAATTGTGAGATCTCCATATTTTTAATCGCTTCAGAATATACTATGAATGCTAGCCCAGTCCCTTGCACAGCCTGATGAAAAAAGAGCAAAATTATTAAGAAGAACAAATTCAGTATCTTGTATACAAGAACCATTGGTTAAAGGAAAAATCATTTTTCCCCAGGGCCTAACCATTGCCTTAACAATTGTAAACTATTGTTTAAAACCTGAGGAAAAAAAGATGAGTTGAACTGAGTCTATGAATTAATTTATTACAAAGATGGTTTCACTTAGAGGACAAAAAAATGGCAAGGCAGTTAGGTCAGATGGCTGCTGTATTTGACTATGATGTAAATATTTTAGAATGTGGCTGAACTAAAATAATATGCTGAATATTTTTAATTTATATGCTTGCAAAAAATATGAAGAAAGTTGTTTTGACGTTATTTCTTTGTGGGGTCCTATTCACTTGTTTATTGCTGTTTGATAGATCTTTCTGCTATCAGATCTCAACCATTTAAAAAGTTATAGATAAGGAGTAGCACTTTCAAGTGAGCCTAAGAATGAACTGGAAGCCAGTGAGAGCCATTTATTGGCTGTGTTTATGTAATATCCGAAGCCATTGGAGGAAATGGTCCTGTATCTCTTCCATTACCTCTACGAAGAAAAGCAATATATAAAGTGAAGAGATATAGGTAGTCCTCAGTTAGCCATTACAATTTGGATTGGCATGGTTATTAAGCGAAGCATTTGCAATGTGAAACTGACTGCTTACATTCCTATTTCAGATTTCCTTTGCTTTACAGATCTGCAACTGTTGTAAATGTGAAGATTGATTGCAAAAAAAAAAAATCATTATCACTGTAACTATGAATGATTGCTAAATTAGTGAATCACTAAACAAGAATTACACACACACACACATATATACATATACATATACATATATATATACATATACCTATATAAAATTTACTGGGTTATTTGATTAGCCAGAATAATTTCAATTTGTTGGGTTCACTTAATTTGCTAAACAATCATTCAGCAAATCTTAAGGGCTATTTCTAAAAAACCTAATTTCCAAACAAGCAAGCCATATTTCACCATGTGTACCCAGTAAAGAATATTGAAATTAATCTCTGTTCATTTATGTTTCATCTACCTGGCCATATATGGGCTGCAAAATCCACATGACAACTAGATGGCAACATTTACTCAAAAAACTCTCAACTTAGTTGCCAACTATTGATCATCTGTGTTTTTGTAGTTCAGAACAAATCACACATCAATTTAGGTGGCATGTTAGAATCCAATAATAGTCCTACATGTGAGATATAAATCTCACTACGAGTATTTCATCCAATCTAAATGATTTCCGTAAGTGCTTCAGAGCTTGAGATGATACCATTCAGTCAAAATTGGTATTAATTACGATCTAGATGTTGAAACAAAACAATAGTACGGGATTGTAGAAGAGATGATGAAATTGAACAATGGTATGGATAGTGGAAGTGACATTCATTCTGGATAAGTGCACAATAACCTGTGAAAAGTTGCCTTGCACATTTTGCAACACCTGATTTCTGTGAATATGGTTACTAATTTTTTGCAAAATCATATCTAGTACTATTGTAATGTCTTTCAAAAGTTATATTTTGCCTTTGTGAGCATTGTAACATATAAAGAAAACAACACGTATTGTAAAACAATTGAGACATAACATTAGGAAAAAGTCTTAATACTGTTGCCATTGCAGCATCAATTATAAGCCTCTTTTTGCAATTTGATCCAGATTACCAGGTGGGAAAACTATTATATAGTTTTGAACACAAACACACATGCATACACAAAAACAAAATTTTACCCTGACTTTCAAGGTTTATCATTCATTCATTCACCACAATGTAGTTATAATTACAATCAACCCACTTCAAAGGATTGTTGTTCTAGGTCCACTTTATTTATTATTTATTAATAATATTAATTATTAGTATTAATTAATCAAGTTGGTGAAGCTTTGTTTACATGGAAATGTAAATTGAATAAGAACTTAACTGCTTGAAAAAATGTTAAGATTCAACAAGTTTCAATACCCAAACAGGAATATGCATTGCTATGAAGATAAAAATGGAGAACTGACAATCATCTGAAGTAAGACTAAGAGATAATTACTGATTTCCCCCAAGATGGCGTGCTGAATGGCAGGCAATTTTTTTCTCTCCCACTGACAAATTGCTGATTTTGTCACCAAAGCTGGCTATTTATCAACTTTGCTTCCTAGAATCGAACAGGAACAAGAAGGAAGGACAAAGAAAATCTTTGGACGTTTGTGCATCTTCAGAGGAGAGGGATCTTGAAGATTGCAATTCTCAGTAAGGAGCGATCAGAAGGTCAAGTCTTTTACCATCTTTACCATTCAGCTGATCATTTTTTTAAGCATGCCTTGGTTTTAATTGCACTTTTAAAATTCCTTTACTTTTCTATCTATACTTTAATAGACTAGTGCAGGGATTCCCAGCTCCTGAGCCACAGCCCAGTAACAGACTGTAAGCTATTTGCAACTGGGCCACGGAAGTGGCGGGCTCACACGCACGTGCACATCCACACTTGTGCGAGCAGCAGGCAAATCCATGCACGCAAGCTCCATTTGTATGAGTGATAGGTGTGCGTCCATGCTGCTTGCACAAATGGAGCTGCATGCGCACGTTTACCAGCCGCTTGTGTGGAACCATTCCCGTCTTCTCCTCCTTGCCAATCCACAAAGCCAGAAAGGTTGGAGAATTCTGGACTAGTTGACTGCTGACCTATCTTACAACCCTTGCTGGATCTTTACAACTTTTTTCTTTGTTCTCTCATTGTTTGCCATTGAATTACAAAACACTTTCATTTTCTGTAAGGAAGCTGGTGGGGATAATTCACTCTCTGGTAGTAAAAGTTACCCAATAGGACTTACACTTACATTGGATTATATTATAAGAATTTTATTCTTACCAATATTTTTTTTAAGGAAAGAAAAATAGGAAAATTCTTTTGATTACTTTTTACCCGGGAAAAAAATTATCTTAACTTCTCTCTACATTTTGTAATGATATATCTGCTTCTCTTATCCTTGAAAGGAATTGTGTGTTTTTCAAAATGTCTACAGAAGAAGATAAAGCTTTTCTGGGAACCTTTAAAAAAAGAATGCTTTCTATTTTACTGGCTTTCTTTCTAAATAATAAAAAAAAAAGATGCGTTAACAGTGGTTTAGAATCAAACTCAGGATAACACCAAAAAGCAGAAAATAACAGTTGGACTTTGCAATTTGAAGAATTGGAATATGATTTGTTGCTGCAAGACATGAAGAAGGACAAACCTGGTCTGAAAATTCAGATCTAGCAGAAAAGTTTGACAAGGACACGAATACAAGAAATTCAGAAATAATGGAATTTATGAGTGATGGGGTTTTTTAGGATGAATCCTGCCTTTTCAGAGAGACTTTTTGAACAGTGGATGTTGCAGAGATACTTATAACAGAAACTCCTGGCTCTGTGAAATGGGATGCAATTGTTGGGAAATATCCTAATTAAAAATCTAAAGAATGGTTTTATTATCAAAAGTCCAACGAGGATCCTGGCCAGATTAGAGATAAGGATTGAAGTGATAAGAAACTGTTGTAAACTTTCTATGAGCTTATTACAATAAAAATAGTTAATAAAGGGCTTTTTAAGTTTAACATAGTTGTTGATTAACCTGTTATTATAGCTAGATGTATAACAGGTCAGATTGGTTCAAATAGATGTACAAGCTTATAAATCTTAGACCTGACTCATAAGGGGAGAAAACTATTATTGTTATATATTTGTCAGTGTTCAACTAGGGGGATGATATGTATTTTTGTCTTTTGTCTTTCTAATATGTCTTTTTAATGTCTTTATTTAGTTTTGTTTTTATAAAATCTCCAATCCCCCCCCCTTTGAAGTTTGTATTTTAATTTTCTGTATTAATTTTTTTTAAAAAAGACTGAGAAGTAATTACTGGTTCATGGTGAGTTTATGGCTAAATGAGGATTTAAACAAGGTCTCCCATTCTCAATAGATCAGCTATTGCATATTCAAGGCACTGACCAAATTTCTTGACATCAGCAAGTGGGTGTCATCATATTCTTTCTGGAAAAAAGAGGGGAAGGAAGGAAGGAAGGAAGGAAGGAAGGAAGGAGGGAGGGAGGGAGGGAGGGAGGGAGGGACTCACAGTGTCTAGTTCAGTTTCCAAAGTGCAGTTCTTGATCTGTGGCAATACTTCTGCATATTTTCCAGGATAAGCAGATTCTAGGTACTGCTTCATGTTCTCAAGGTTTTCTGTTGTCAATAAACCTTCCTTCAGATCAAAAAAATTAGTCAACAGCAAGATCACCCTGAAAGGCAATTTAAAAAAAAAATATAATAAAACAAATTACAGGATTCTCAACACTTTTCAACATTTTAGAGTTTTCAAAAAGTAAGAAGGGGAAAGCAATTCAAGGAAGACAGAATTACTGTTTATTTATCATAACAAAAAATATTATTAAATTTTAGACAATTGTTAGCAGCACATTAGCTGTGGTTACAAGTATTAAGATCCATTTTTAATGAGATTTCATACTTAGTTGTCATCTTATTTCAGAAACCTTTCTAAACCCAGACACCTTATATATCATAAAAGAAACTTTTCTTGGAATATGAATCAGGAATTATTTATTGAAAAAAATCCTAACTTCAGTAAATCATTTTTAAATGTGTATGTTGATTGAGCAGATTTAAAAGAGAAAAATAAATCTGGATTAAAAACCAAGCTTACTTGTTTATGCAGCTTTCATAGTTGAAAGTTGCTTTAAAACCATAAATGGAGAATGTGACAATGCTGGCAAATATTGAGGTGGCACTATTTATTAAGGAAACAATGATGGCATGTCGCTCACAATTGTTGTTTGGCTCATTGTAGCTGGCAAACGCTATCAAACTACCAAAGCCCAGGCCGAGAGAGAAGAAGATTTGAGTAGCTGCATTAATCCAAGTCTTGGGGTTTGCTAGTTGCTCTAGCTGCAAGGCATAATTGATGAGAATGGATTAATGATGTATCATTTTCAGAAAGTAGCTATATTAGTCATATTACGCATAGCAAAAATCCAGAGGCACCCACAAATTTCTTTGTTTTTGTAGCATTTCAAAAATTCTACTTCCTTAATGGAACTGAAAGACAGCTCACTACCAGTCTGTAGTTTATGATATAGTTCAGAGGCCCCCAACCTTTTGGGCACCAGGGACTGGTTATGTGGAGAGAGGTTTTTCCGCAGACTGGAGGGGGCTTGGTTTTTTATGCTGCCTTCCTCCTGCAAATGGGGCTTTCCTTGTTTGTGTGGACCAGTTGCTGGCATGCCGCAGCCCGGTACTGGTCCATGGACCAGGGGTTGGGGACCCCTGATATAGATAGTCCTTGATTTACAATTGGTCACTTAGCAACTGTTCAAAGTTGCAACAAAACTGGATTTGAAGTTCTGACAGTTTCCTCTCCCCCCAGTCATATTATCAAACTTCAGCCACTTTGAAACTAGGCAGCATTTGTGGCCTAGTTTTACAAGTTTGGTTGAAAACTGGCATTTACTTCTGGTTTTCGGCAAAACTGCACCTATAGCAAACCACTGGATTGCTTAACAACTATGGCATTCACTTAACAACTACAACTGCCATTTTACAATTGCTGTATTCGTTTAATGATTGCTGCAAAAAAAGTTGTAAAAATGGGTCGATCATGTGATCAATCCATTTTATGACCGTCACGACTTACAACTGTGATGGGCAGGCTCCATTTTGATTATAAATTGAGGGCTACCTGTAATGAAAAAGAATGCAGCATATTGGCTCAGCTTAAAACACAGCCATTTTCTGCAGTTTAATTACTGTAAATCCAAATGCATAAGGTCATATTTACATCAGATTTAATGAATTTCTTTTTTTCTTAAAAGTACTCAAAGTTTAATAAGATAATTATGGTTTTATTATTACTAAAATAAAGTTGGTGCCAGGCATTTGAGTATCAGGGATGTTGTCCTGCACCTGACCTCCTTTTCTGCAAGTGTAACCAACCTTTAAATTCAAAGTTATTGCTTGAATCTGTAGTATTGGGAATAATGCAATGGGATATTTTTATTGGCAGAGAAATATCTATAACCAAAAGAGATAATATCTCCTCTTTTCCCCTAGATAAATCTGTCCTAGAGGAGTGGGAGATGAGCCAGAGAAGATTTGGGAAGGAAGGCAGGATTCCACCATATTATGTGGTATTGATTATTTTCCTGTTTACCCAGTTCTGTAATCATACTATGATTAAATATTGTCCACATATCATTCATATATATATTCTAGTTTTATGTCATATGTATCACAGGTAGTCCTCGACATATAACCATTTGTTCAGTGACCATTCAGACTTATGACAATACAGAACAAAGAGACTTATGACCCATGCCAGAAATTATGGTTGTATCAACAACCTTGCAGTCATGTGAATAAAATTTAGGTATTTGGTAGTCCATCCACACTTATGCCCACAGGGACAGGTCAACTACCTTCCTATTTCCACCACCACTACCTATGACCTTTTGGCCCTCTGCCATCCTATATCTTCTTGTTCCTGCTGCTAATGAGGCATGCCCACCAAAAAGCTCATTTGCAGTGGTCCCTGGATGCAGCTGGGCTTCAGATTTGTTGGAGGAGGAGGAGGAGGAGGAGGAGGAGGAGGAGGAGGNAGAAGAAGAAGAAGAAGAAGAAGAAGAAGAAGAAGAAGAAGAAGAAGAAGAAGAAGAAGAAGAAGAAGAAGAAGAAGAAGAAGAAGAAGAAGAAGAAGAAGAAGAAGAAGAAGAAGAAGAAGAAGAAGAAGAAGAAGAAGTCATTTTCTTTTATATCATTGCCCAGCTGAGTCTGGCAATTATCAGCAGGAGCAAGGAGCTAGCAAAGCAATAGAGTGTTGGGCTACAGGGGTCTCTGAGTGCAGTGTCACAAGGATGACTGTGTTTGGGATTGGGCTGGAGTAGCTGCAGTTTCCCAGGTATGAAAAGCAAGCACATAGCCACATGATTTTAGGATTGCTTGTGACCCCACGAGGCTGGAGGCAGGCTGGCCAAAAGGACAGAAATGGAGAGGAGATAAACAAGTGGAGGGAATTGGGTGCATCTCCTTGCCTTAATCAGACTTGGGGCTAGGAGAGACCAAGCTCAAATGGTTTGGATTGGGATGTGTGCTTTCTTAATGACCTGCAATTCTTGGTTAAAAACAGGAACACAGAATGCCAGGATTGTGGTCACAAAGTGATGTGGTTACGTGACATCTGCTTTATAACTGCATCACTTAGTAATGACTATTCCAGTCCCAATTGTTGTCATAAGTCAAGACTGCCTGTATAATTCAGTTTCCAGTTTTTACATTGTCTGATTTCCCTGACCACCACCACCACCTCCTCCTCCTCCTCCTTTTCCTCTTCCTCATTTATCACTTTGGGTGTCGATGGAGATACAAACTGTTCTGGCAGTTTCAACCATTGTTAATTCATGCTGTTATATTGTGTTCCCTGACATTAGGAGAGGTTATATGTCATGCAGCTGTTGTTGTTGCCTTTGAGTCACTGTTGACTCCTTGACAAGTCCCTGAAGTTTTCTTGGCAAGATTTCAGAAGTGGTTTGCCATTGCCTTCTTCCAAGGGCTGAAATAGAGTGTCTGGTCCAAGGTACCCAGCTGATCTTAAGGGAGGATTGTCACAGTTTCTAGGCTGGTGCCTTAACCACTACACCAAACTGTCCCTTATATGTAATGCTACGTCATATAAAAAGCATGTTTTTATATGACGTAGCTGGTGCCTTAACCACTACACCAAACTGTCCCTTATATGTAATGCTACGTCATATAAAAATCCCAAATTAATTTTTTTGGACATCAACAGAGCAGAATCATTTGTGTATGTATGTATGTATGTATTTGAAGAGGCGACAATGACTAAACGAGGGTACTCAAGGGTACATTTGAACATTGGCATACTGAGCAGGCAATTTGTATTATTACTGAATTTTGATTCTATTGCTAGTAATGTATGTGTGTGTGTGTGTGTGTGTGTGTGTATTTTATGTATATACTAATTTTCCACAACTACTGCCAAGATGATATTCAACTAAAAATAAAAGAGCCTTTCCCCTGGAGAAAACTAATAGAAAACTAATCCTTTAGAAAGATTAAATATATTTTAAAAAATACATTTCATTCCTTGCCATAACTTGGGGCCAATATTAGCTCCAAAGAAAGAGCATCCCATGGTCTAAAAGCAGTGGAAAATAAGAACTTCCTTCATGTTTGGTGGATAGCCCTTTCTTTTCAACATATCATCTTGTTCATTTCTTAGTAAGTAGATGAATTCATAATAAGAAAAAAAATGACACCATATTACCAGACTTTACATTATTTTAAAGTTTTTTTTTAAAGATGCAGCCCAATACAGGTAGTTCTTGAGTTAGGACCATAATTGAGCCCAATATTTAAGTTGCTAAGTGAAACATTTGTAAAGTGAGTTTGCCCCATTTTACGATTTTTCTTGCCATAGTTGTTAAGTGAATCGCTGCATTTGTTAAATTAGTAACATGGTTGTTAAGTGAATCTGGATTCCCCATTGACTTTGCTTGTCAGAAGAGCATAAAAGGGAATCACATGACTTCAGGACACTGCAACTGTCATAAATATGAACTAGTTGCCAAGCATCTGAATTTTGATCATGTGAACATGGGGATGCTGCAACGGTCATAAGTGTGAAAAAGGGTCATAAGTCACTTTTTTCAGTGCCATTGTAACTTTGAATAGTCATTAAATGAACTGTTGAAAGTCGAGGACTACCTATACTCCACTGATTTAATAAAACAGGGATGAGAAACTCTTGTTTTTATAGTCTTTAGAATTCTCTCAAGGTGATGGCTAAAAACTGAAGGCAATTTCCTGCTATTTTTAGATAGGAAATGGATACAAATAGTCCTTGCTTACTGACTGAATTTATGACAGTCCTTCCCCCAAAAAACTACTTACAACCTGGTTCTGCAGTTCTGAATCCACAATCACTTAACTGCATTTTGGGTATTTAGCAACCAGTTTACAGCTGGTTGCAGCATTCCAAGATGATATGACCACACTTTATTACATTGTTTGCCAATTTCCAGCAAAAAATACCCACAGTAATATATTGACTCAATCACTGTGACGTTCACTTAATGACTACTGCATTAACAATATGGCATTTGTTTAATGACCACTGAAAATTAAGTTATAAAATCAGGTCTGGTCATGTTGATGCCTCAACATAGCAGTCATGACTTATGATGGAAATTTTGGGCACCATTATGGTCATAAATTGATATTATTTGTATTGTAGAACTGTAATACAAAAGCATTAATAGGCATTTTTACTTTATAAGGCACAACAATCAACAGTCTCTCCAAAAAACATAGCCCTATTTATTCTGCATTCTTCAACCCTCCCTCATCCAAACTTTAATGCCCAAGTATCAAATGATTGCCCACTTATGCTATACAATTATTGATAATCAGGACATTCTCAGTATGAAAATGAATTTAATTAATTAATCAATTAATTAATTAATTTGCTATGGGATAACTCTGGGCAGCTAACAACAATAAAATATAAAATTATAAAAATGTATATAATTTTTCATGTCATCTTGATAACATCATAGCATCTTTTACACCCTGTTGGGGCATCTTTAGGGGGGAATGTTTTTTAAAAAGTCAAACATCAAAATTCTGTCCTTTTTGAAAGTGTTGCACATTCAATGCATGCAAAAGAAGGGGAAGCTTCAATTGCATGATTTTGGTACCATCTTGATTTTTTTGACCTCTTCCATAGATGTACAATATTGACTGTACCTTCAGCAAGCTAATACTAGTGTTCTATTTTAAATGTACCTTTGGAGTGAACATATATCGCAGTCCATTAGTAGCTCCATGAAGTGTTAAGACTCTGATTAAATATATAATAAGGACTACATAAGGTAATGTAGCTGTTACATAAACAATCTGCAAAAAAATAAAAAGGTACATTTATTAGAAGTGGAAAATATTCCTATAGCTGATAATTAATATCTTTATTTTAAATTCTAAATGAGTTTCAAGAATATTATTATTTAGCATTAGAGATTAAATTCCAAATGGTACATGTGTACTCATACTGAACTCTTAATTATGAGCTTCAATCAATAAAATAAATAATTCAATGTTTTGGAATATAATTTGGAATGGCCATAATTTCTGGTTCTTATGACAAATGAATATATTATTGGCTTTAATTATGTAGGTAGTTCCTGACTTACAACCACAATTGAATCTCGTGTTTCCATTGCCTGTTGTTAAGTGAATTTTGCCCCATTTTATGATCTTTCTTGACACAGTTGTTAAGTGAATCACTGAGTTGTTAAATTAGTAACACGGCTGTTAAGTGAATCTGGCTTCCCCATTGACTGCTTGTCAAAGGGTCACAAAAGGTGATAACATGACCTCAGGACATAGCAACCATCAAAAATACATGCCTGTTGCCAAACATTCAAATTTTGATCGTGTGACCTTGAGAATACCACAATGGTTGTAACTGAAAAATTATCATACATCACTTTTTTCAGTGCTGTTGTGACTTTGAAAGGTCACTAAACAAATGGTTATGTTGAAGACTATCTGTAGTTGGCTAAAAATTGTAATATTCTAATAGTCATTGAAATAACATTTAGTAGGGCAAGCTTTCAAATTTCAGATCTTTCTATGACAACTGAATTAAGATAACTAAATGTTTAATGTTGTTTCAGTTCTTCAAGTACATATGCATAGATGCAAACATGCACATGCATTTACTGCCTATTTCATTTCAACTACGCACATTTCTATTCATATGTTTATAAAAACCTTTCTAATAACATGAACTTTTGTGATAGAGAAATTCACAGAGCTCAGAGTCTATTTTTCTGTTAAAAAGTCACCGGTTGTGTTTATTCATACAACTAACTATAATTCCCTGGCCAAATTAAATCCCAAATTATTTTAAAAGGTTTTCAGGATTTTTTTCTTGTCTTCAGTTATATTTATGAAACCCTAGTATGTTCAACTCCAGTACATTTCTTACCTTTCCAGTATGTTCTGTTCCACGCAGAATACACAAATAGACCACTAGCCAAGCCAGGATGAGACAAGCTGCTTGCTCCCATTGGATGCTTCCACTTTCCTCAATGGATGGAGAAATATTGAGGGTTTTCCTATACCAGAAGTACTGAGTCGGTGTTGCTTTCTCACATTCTTCCTCATAGTTTGTGTGGTTAATACTCAGTGGACAGCTTGCCCATGGCAAAGGATCCTTTAAGGGTGAATCAGACATTAAATCCATATAGATAATTCCCAATACTGTCGGACATCCAAATACAAAGGCTGCAGTGCAAGATATGGGGAAGATGGCTATGTGATAGACCACATGCACTGGGTTTAATCCCCAATGTGACTAATCACCCACAACAACAATTTTCAGGCCAGAACTGATAGTTCTGTAAGTACTTAGCAATTTCAAAGCAGCAATTATTGTACAAAGAGCCAGTTAACTGAAGGGGCATAAAGAAAATGATATAGGTTTGAACCACTATCTTTAGAAGAAGCACCTCAACATTCACTCTGGCAGTGGGCAATCTGCTGCTTGATTTGCTTCATTCTTGTTTACAGTAAAGACTCTTATCTACCCATGCTGTTCCTGGAAGACTTTTGCCAGATCATAACCATGTAAAATGTTAAATCTTGACAGTAATTCACTGCCAAATCTGAGGCAGAAAAGCTGGCATCTATGTATAATTATATCTATTATTATAATACTTGTAATTAAGCATCAGAAAAGTATTTGACAAACTGGAGAGCTGCTCCTATTCAGTGATAAACATATTATGTTGCATGTACATAGACCTAAGAAAACTGAAACATTTCTGGGGCATAATACAGTGGTTTGAGGTTTTTTTTAATTATGTCATGATTGAGAGGAGATATTCAGCCAGCATTTTGGGGATCAATTTATATGAAAATCTATGAAATACTAATGAAGCTTTGAGAGATTAAGATATTGAGTACTTAAGAAGAATCTTATTGGTTCAGAGGTATCCCAGACCTTTCCAAATGTATTCAACTTTGCTACATTTATTTATAAAATTTATTTGCTGCCCATATTGTATCCAATGATTCTGAGAGGCTTACAATATGAAAAACATTACAAACATTAAAAATGTCCATTATAAAATAGCAAATAAAAATATTAACAATCATAAAGACAAGCTGCCAAAGAAGGGCACTGGACATAATGGGGGGAGGCAGGTGGCATTGAACTTAATTAGGCAACCACCTGCAGTATGAAGCTCCATCCATGGGACCCTAAGCCATTTGAAAGAATCAGGTCTTCAGGCTCTTGTGGAAGGTCAAGAGGGTGGGAGCCAGTCTCACCTCTGAGATAAGATGTTCCAGAGAGCAGGAGCAGAGAAGGCTCTTCTTCTGGATCTCACCAGGCTGACAGGATCTGCAGAGTGACATGGTTCCTCGAGTAGCCTAGAGCCATGCCATGCAGGCTTTAAAGGTGATGAACAACCACCTTGAACTGCACCCAAAAGCAGACTGACAACCAGTACAGCTCATGAAGCAGTGGTGTAGCATGGGCCACTCTAGAGGTCCAAAGAACTGCCCTTAGCATCACATTCTGCACCAGCTGTAGCTTCCAAATGCTCTTCAAGGATAGCCCCATCTAAAGTGCATTGCAATGCAAAGTCCAGCTGTGAGATGACTAGGGCTTGAATGACAGAGTGCAGAGACTCTTTATCCAGGAAAGATCGTAACTGGTGCACACAATGAAGTTGTGCAAAGGCTCTCCTAGTCACTCTTTTGTTTTATCTTTGACATATGTGTCACATGTCCCATAAGATTTATATTGTTCACAATGTTTTCAATACTTGTTCTGGATCAGCCAGTTAGATGAGAACTATATGTTAGAATGTTTGGCATTTATAGGGTTAAGCTCTGTCTCCTTAAGAGATGGCTTATGGGTAATGTAGTTTAGCTATTCAGTGAATCCCATGTTAACAAGTCAGTAGGAGGAGCTACTAAGTTCATCATAGGATATTCTGGCTACGTGCCAGCAGTTTGGAATGTCTTTGTCTAAGATAAGCATGGGATCACCGGAGGATAGACACAGTCTTAATTCACGCTAGAAGTTGATGTGAAGGAATTAATTATTTTACCTACAAAAATGGACAATTATGCAACATCCAGATAAAACTACAGAAATCGTGAGTTCTGACCAAGTATTCCTGGATTATATATTTGTTTAAAAACTATCTTCATTGAGTTGTCTGACTGGTTTTGAATTGCAAAGCATCTCAGTTCAGGATACAGAACAATACTTGCCAGAGATAATAAGTGCAAGAAGGAGGATTAAATTGTTATATGTTCACAGAGCCTTGGTGCTCTCTGAACTTGGTTGTTTGCTTGTAGATATTTCATTACTCAGCAGATAACATCTAAAGATATGAATCCAACATTTTGCCTGTAACTGACCATATAAGAACTGTTGCACATTTGCTGTTGTTCTAAAGAGAAAAGGATTGTCTCTTTTCAAAAGCTAGTTCTTTTCTATTAAGCTAATGAAAATAGCTTAAATATTTCATTAACCATTGATGATGCTATCTAGTTGGATAATAAAATGTTTACAAACAAACAACCAAGCTCAGAGAGCATCAAGGGGTTCACAGCTTAGCCATTTTTTATAAGCTTGCTAATAATACTCAGTTCTGTTTTATTACAATTTTCCAAGAAATTGTTATGAATTATTATTTAAGTCAAAGATGGCCAGCATAAGTACCGGTATATGTGGATTGACATTGATTGTTTTACTCTACTAGAATCTCTGTCTTTAATAGCATTCATAAACTATATGGAAAATGGTGAAAGATGCTGGAAGAAGGAATTCTTCCTCAATTGAAAAGTAAATGGGAATCTTCCACATGTAGAAGAATACTATTTTGTGCCACATGAACTCACACCCTTCACTAAATCAAGCAAAAATAAAAATATATTTTATTCTACATCCAAGGATTTAAACTGAATAGGGGTGCATTTTTATGATAACGCTCTGCATTTCTGAAACACACACACAAAAAATCTTAGTAGATACTGCTATTGCACAGCAAAGTGAGAAGTCATAATACTGTTATTACAGAGAAGTTTTTTGTTTGGTCATATATTCCCATTTTGTCTCAGTGCACTCTGAACAACCCAAGTCCAAGAAATATTATGCAATTAGAAGTGCTTGTGTGGAACATCATAAAATGTTGCCACAACCTATCAGTAAAATCTACTATATGATTTCAGGGAGAGATTATTTTGCTTAACTGCAAAAATGGGCAATAATACTTTAAAAGTGAAGTGGTAAAATACAAAATTAAACCTCAGTTGTGGGCTGAAGAAGCATAACATAAAATAATTATTGCTAACTGCAGCATGTTTATGCCACAGTAAGGAGGAATAAGAGAAGAAGCCCTTAGATATACAACTGACACGTGAGTCACAGGGCATTCCAAACTCCCATGTACATTTGTTCAGCCTTGCCCCATCTCACATTAGAGGAAATCATTGCTGGTCATGTTCAAAAGAAGGGAGATGTTGGTAGGAGAGGAAGTGAAACTGGGGGAACTCATCAGTTAAGATTCTGTCCCATCACAGAACAGAAAAGCTTGGCCACAAAGACAGCCAATTTTATGTTGGCTTACTAAAGGATTGGTGAATAACACTTGAAACCAGTTGCTGGTTTTGTTCAATCAGAAAAGGAAGAGAAATCATTGCTTACCTTCAGGTGTCATGCATTTCAAATAAGCAGCATTTTCACCCTTTATCTCTTGAGTCCTTCAAACAACATTTTTGCATAACTGGGAGCCCATTAAAGTGGCAAAACTGTGTTTGAGAACTGGATATAAAATATTTATCCCAACCCATCCTTCCCACCCCACTTCTCTCTCTCTCCCTCCCTCCCTCCCCTCTCTCTCTCATCACTGCAGTTTCTGATGTTTGTAGTAGATGGAAAACACACACACACACACACATTCAATCTCTTCAGTCACAACATCCTAGCAGAAAGGGAGGTAAGTTCAAGGTATTGTTTGACCCACCTGAAATGAATGGAAAAGATACCAGAATGCCCAGCCATTTATAACATTGTAGTACATGGAGAGGAAAAATGACACAACAACACTGGCAATTCCTGAAAACAAGAAAACTATGTCAGGCAAACGGGAATTAATTGATCATTGCTATCACCCCCTCAGAAGTATTAATGCTTTGAAAACAATCCCAAGGTTTTTTTAAGGTCTCCATACAAGCCAGAAAAAAAGATGCTACTGACTTAAGAATTGCTTTAATAAATGAACTGCTTAAAGTAGCTTATCTTTGTACAGCTCATGCAGAAGCCTTAAAAAAATAATCACTGCTTTAATCAGTAGCCCAGATGCAATCCTTACACTCCTGTGAAGGTTTGATATGGTACTGGCACTGTTAAGAAGCTTGCAGCACTTCTAATGAATCATTTTTTGAAGATGCACAGTCTTACTCATAAATAATCCCCTCCTCTACATATTTTCCTGTAATTATTTCCATGAAACTCTTCACATAAACAGAATGCTCAAAGTGAATTAGGCTATTAAAACAGTAAATTCTTCTCTATCTATTTTATGGGTTTTATTGCAAATTTTGGTAACCATGAACTACTGACAAACAAGAGGAGATTTAGCAAAAATTTGAAATAGTGAGACAATGGAAGAGGGAAGCACTTTCAGTAGAGAAGAGGTGCATTATCCGTCCTTCAGGAAATGACAAAGAAAAAAAAACCCTCAACATTTTTCAAGGGAATTGAATGGAATAGATGGAATTTTGAACAAAGAGCTTTCCATATTGCAACAATTAGTTGATCAAACTGCATGGAACCAAATGAATCCTCTTCACTTTTTTCCAGTAAATCAATAATTTCTGTAAAATAGTAACCTTGCTTCATGGATGAGTTGACCATAAGTATCTCATTCAACACCTTGTGGGTTGTGTTACATAATGTTAGAAGGCTGCTAGCTTAGGGTAGGAAACAACATTTTAGAGATAAGAAAGTTGTACCTAATCTTAATCTCTCCTCTTCATAATTTATACTATAGTTATAGTCAGGCAGTTCAATTGCTTCCCTTAGCCAGTCTTTCCTGTATGTTTTAATGACATCTCAGTTTGAAAGGGTCAACTGCTCTTATCCATATCTTAATTACTGTGTGCCTGTATTGGGTTAGAGTTAATTTTCCCATTCATTAGGCCCAGATGTTATAATAGTTCACCAGGCAGGATTTGTTATTTCAAACAACATTTCCTTCTGAATATACATTTACATTCTTTGATATATCATTTCCCCAGATATAGCAACTATTTTTGTTAGATGGCTTTGTTACTCTTCCAAATGATAAAATTCCCTCAGTGTATGAGGAAATAAAAGTAGGCAGGCTGCTTCATGTTTTTATAGACAACTGGATTCTATATTGCTATGTTTCTATCTTTGGGTATGTATCAGTTGGGAAATGCTTGACTTCCCAGCCTTTTCTGGCTTTTTAAACAAGCAATAAGTATATTTGATGCTGATGTCATGTACTGGAGATGACAAAAATTACTTATTTAAAGACATTTCAAGTTTTTCCTGAATTAACAATTGGCTTGTATTTGCAATTTAAAATTTAAAAAAGGATTGATTTTGTATTTGTAACTTTACAGGATTGAAATTGTGCATGTAGATTTTTTTTTAAAGAAAAAGCTCGTGATAGAAAAGCGAAAACAAGATGTCTACAAACTTATTACAAACTTGTCTTACAACCACAATAGAGCGCAAACTTTCTGTTGGTAAGTGAGACATTTGTTAAGTGAATGTTGCCCCATTTTACAACCTTTCTTGCCACAGTTGTTAAGTGAATCATTGCAGTTGTTAATTTAGTAACAAGTTTATTAAGTGAATCTGGCTTTCTCATTGACTTTGCTTATCAGAAAGTCACAAAAGGTGATTATATGACCCCAGGACACTGCAACTGTCATAAATATGAGTCAGTTGCCAAGCATCCAAATTTTGATCACCTGACCATGGGGATGCTGCAACAATTTTCACAATGGTTGTGAAAAACAGTCATAATACATTTTTTCAATGCAGTTGTAACTTTGAATGGTCACTAAACAAAAGGTTATAAGTCAAGGACTATTTGTAAAATCCACAAGCAAAACAATAGATCTCTAGCAGGTATATTAAAAACCAATTGTCATTTTATATGTAAACAAGAAAAGCAAGCAATAGATAGACAAAAACCCACCAACTCCACAGAGGTAAGGACTTATAGCGTTCCATGTGCCAATGCTCCCTTGGTGCATATGTTGTCCTATTGCCAACTCTAAGAATAACAATGGCATTCCTTCCACAACTAACATAATCAAGTATGGGATTAAAAATCCACCTGCAAGAGAAACAAAAGCATATATGTATTACAGTCAACTATCTAGTACTTAGGTAAAAGCTTTAAATAAGTGCTTAATGTAGTGGGATTTTTTCCCAGCTTGACAACTTTAATATGCATGGGCTTCAACTCCCAGTGTTCCCCAGCCAGTATGCTTGCCAACATATCTTTCGTTACTTGTTTCAACAAATTTCTGCAGAAAATATAGGGATAAACAATAAAAAACACCAGAATACAGTTCCTAACTTTGATAGCAAGAAATTTTCCTTTCTCCATAATGAATGAATGGAATGAGTATATGTTTCAGAAAAAATACATACCCAATCCCAAGTACAAAATGCAAGAATTGGTCTATACTGTATTCTCAATATCATTTTTTAAAAAAAAAATCTGTATGCTAAATCAAAATTTTCTTAGCCGTGTTTGAAAGAATAAAGTACTCTTGATTAATGTAATATACTAAGCCAAAACCAAGCAGCCACATTATAGCTGAGCATCATGTGTGAATCTATCCACAGAAATGGAGTCACATATCTTCATGGGCACTTATTTTCATAGGTATCCGTTCCAAACTACACTGATTCCAAAATGCATGTCATGATGTTATAGCACAGGTGCTGCTCTTTCACACTTGCAATGCAACATCAGATCTATGAATATTAAAAAAAATCTGTGCTATAAGGCACATTGTGCCCCTTACCTCCTTCACTTGATTGTGCTTCAACTTTATGTTATAATATCTAATTGCTCAGGTACACTCCACACGCATTAGGATGTACGTCCATCCAGAAAGAAAATCTAATAACTTCAGTGTGATTTATCTTCAGGGAAATGGATTTAGTCATGCAGATTATAGCATACAATATAATAGTATATGAAACTGCTTAAAATAAGTCTCAGTGGGGCTTTTTCTCAGGAAACAATTGTTTCTAAATGAAAAGCATTCATATCTGGTTTTGTCTGATTGTTTATTTCTTGCTATATCTTCCTTTTCCTAGAATTGAAGCTTGATAATTAGCCTATACACTGGATGGGTTTGCCAGAATAATTTTCTGCAAATCACATAGTCTAGATGTGATTTAGTAGAATCTTTCAGATAGAGTAACTGTTAAAGTATAACTAATTGCTATAAAAAGCATTAAATTATAACCAAGGAAAGTGAGAAAAGATCAAAAGTACATAAAGATCCAGGTTTTGGTCTAATGGGTAGGGTGCTGGCCAAGAAACCAAAAGATGTGAGTGCTGGTCTTGTCTTAGGCATGTGAGCTGGATGGGTAACTTCGGATCTGTCACTCTCTCTCAGTCCAACCCACCCCTCAGGGTTATTGTTGTTGAAGAAAATAGGAGGAGGGAAGAGTACTGTGTATGTTCTACATCTTGAATTACAGAGTAAGCTAAAAAAATAAAATAAGAGTCAAAACTAACACATAGAAATAAATATTTCCTAACTGAAATCAGTAGAACCGTAAGCATATATAATTAGGATTGAGCTGTGACTGCAATTGACAAACGCTAGCTTAAAGCTATACTTTTTCAATTTTCTCCACCCACCCCACTCCATAAAGAGGATTAGTGAAGCCTTCTCTCGAACAGAACCCAGACTGAATCCAGCTTGGCCTAGCCTTACTGGTGAAATGAGGTTGTCCGTCCATCATCCATCCATCTGTCCATCCTGCCTGCCTGCCTGTCTGCCTCTCCCTCCCTCGTCACTTTGGAGTCCTTAACAAGTACTAGTCTACAGATTTTTTTCCTAATAACTCCAAGTTTTAGTTTGGAAAAACACTGCTCAAAATGGTACTAATCATAAGGTATCATTTAATCAAAAACATCTCGAGTAAGTTATATTTTGACATTTGAAATGCCAAACTTCTACTATTGAAGAAAGGCTAATGATGAAAATATGTAATGTTTATGGCTAATTCATTGGATAAAGTGAGGTGGTTGCCTCTAGTAAATGATTATTGGTATTATGAAGAGGCTGCAATTAATTATCATTGGATATTTATTGTAAGAGAGAATATTGCTGAATATTCTGCCTCAGAAGCCGAAACAATTTGCATGGCCTTGGGTATGATGAACTATAATCAAGACTGGGATGAAGAAGTGCTACTAATACCCAGACTTTGGGGAAAGAAATAGCAAACTGAAGATGGCTCTGCTGAGAATCGATCCAATGATCGCAGCTGAATAAAAAGCTAATAAAACCTGTTCTTTATCATTTCTCTCCAGACAAGGAGAGGAATTAAGATTGCTCACAAGTGCTCTAATACCACCACCACCAGTTGTTCCTCGTGAAGAGACTATAAGATAGCAATCTCAGGGTGGTAGTGGTGGTGTTAGAATTCTGGGAGATGAAGAAAAGCCATCTTAACTAAAAACATGTTTGGCACTGTACCAATGGACACTAGGTTTGTAAATTCTATTTTTAATCACTTTTTAAATTATTTGTTAACTACTTTTCAACTATGAGGAATAGAGTAGAGTAGAGTAGAGTAGAGTAGAATAGAATAGAAATTTGGAGGTCCTCTAGTCTAGCCCTCTGCTCAAGAGGCTCGCCATCACTGGTAACCTATACCAGTGATGGCGAGCCTTTTAGAGACCCAGTGCCCAAACTGCAACCCAAACCCCACTTATTTATCACCGGGTGCCGGGTGGGCGTGGCCACAGTGGTCATGGCAGACTGGGTGGGTGGGGCCAGGGCGACGGCGGCCAGTCCCTCGCCATCTCTGGGGCACAGCACACGTGCCCACAGAAAGGGCTCTGAGTGCCGCCTCTGGCACGCGTGCCATAGGTTCGCCACCACTGCTCTATACCATTACTAAGGAACCCTAAGACTCAGTTTTACAGCATTAGGTGATATTCCTTCAACCCTTAGCAAAATTTTAAATACAAGTTGAAATGTTTTTTTTCTTTCATAATAAATAGCAAAATGGTGATTAGAACTTTGATTTTAAAAGGTTACAAATGTAATAAGGTTGCAGAAAATGCATTTCTTAGTATTCTTTTAAAAATGAAAACATGATGGGATGGTACTTTGAAGATTGGACACTAGAGGAATCAGAAGGTATTGATGGGAAGAACAATTAAATTTGACCCAGAATGGATTAAAATGGATATATTGTATATTTTTGAACACGGACCCAGAAGTCAATTTTGACAGTTCAACTTTATAGACTGTTGAAACATATTATGGAAGAGGAACATTTTTACCAAACAAGACTGAGATTGATCTGAAAATAGATTTAAAAATGATAGGCTACAAAAATGAAATGGAAAAAGATGCTATACTGAAAATACAAATAAAATATCAATATTATTAAAAGTAAAAGAAAGGAACATAAGTTTGGTTTATTTAACCATGGTTAAAATAGATACGTTATTATGTCTGGTAACCTTTAATGGACTTTTGCTGATCAAAACTGAACAATGAGGCTCTAGGATTTATTTATAGACAAGAGATGCGATATGGAAGAAGAGATCACTTCTTGAATTTTAAGAGAATTTTAAAATTGTACTTGTGATTGAAAGGGAAGTCATTTTTATATATATTTCTTTTCAATCTATTTTTTCTGCATTTTCTATTTTTTCTATTTTTTTAATTTTTACTAGTTTTTATCTCTTTAATTGTATTTTCTAATAAAATTATTATATAAAAAAGAAATGCTGCTAGTTGCTCACTTCAGACTGCAAACTATTTTGAGATAGTCTTATGCATTGAACAGATTGGTGGTTTTAGATTAGGAAGAACCAGGTTCTAATTCTTTTTCAACTTAGAAGCACATTGTTAGTTTTTAATCCCCAAATCCAAAGAATTGGAATCAGAAAACTTGTCTGTCACTGGTTTATGTATTTGCAAATGAAAGGAAGATTTAAATTAGATTTTTAAAACTTATGGAATTGACCTTGCAAAAAATGAATCTGAAATTGTACTGCATGGTTAATGATGAACATGTTATTGCCAAGTTTATAAATTGTTGTTGAAACTGAACTTAAAGAATGAGTACATGAAACATCATATGTCCCAAATGAGCAATGTATTTTGGGTATAATGCAATGCTTGGAAAATGGAAAACATGTGCATGAACGCTTTAGAAATTTACATTAAATTATAACTTAAAAGAAAATGTTTATAAAATGATATACCATTAGTATTTAACACCAGATAAACTGTCATAATTAATAAAGATATTTCAAATGTATGTTGGAAATATAAAGAAGGAATTTTAACCATCTTTGGTGGACCTGCAATAAATCAAAGAAATATTGGAGTAGGACTCATATCTTAATACAGAAGAGTCTTAACGTGAATATAAAAATAAAACCAAAGACTTTTTTTTTTTGCTTAATGGAGAAAGAACTTGAAAAATAAATGGAACTTTCAGACTTCTAGTTTTGTGTGGTAGTCCACGGTTGCGGGATTGCGAAGCTCTGCTTCCCATGGCACTTTTCATCCTGCCAGGGGACCCTAAATGGGTCTAAAGCCACCCCAAAGAAGCGGCGAAGAAAGAGGGGCACCCCAGCAATCTGGGAACGACGGCGGTCATCCCATTCAAACTGGGAATTCCCTCTAACCTGACAGGAGAAATTCTGGCCCCACCTCAGTAACCAGCCCAAGCTACTTGCAGCCGAAGTCCACCAGTACTCACCAGAACGTTGGTGAACAGTGTGCTGAAACTGGGTGAGAAATTTGATCTTCTCTCTCCTACTTTATATTCTGAACTTTTGGAAAAAATACTCCAGGAAGCAAAAAAGCTTCCAAAAGTGAAAAGGAGAGGGAGCTTAGCTCCACTCTCCCACAGAAGGAAGCGGCGAATTAAACTATTAAGGGGGCAAGAAACATACTGTTACTGACATCTAGTGATGGAAGAGAATATATAACTTTAGCTGCTTTGTTATAAGTATTGGCAGGACACCCAGAATGAGATAACCTACTTCTCTGATCTTTAAAAAGAGCTAAACAAAACATTCTGGGCCAGCCACAATAAGCAAAGACTGTAATT